CAATACAGAATCTGATTCCGAGTCAGAATCAGATGCACTCCATTCTGAGGGACTATAATCACTTGAGTCTGAATTGTGAAAAGACTCATCAGAAGAAACATAATTTAAAAGATCTAAACCGATCTCTGAATCATCTATCTTTCTTTTCGGCATATTAAAAAAATTCACTAAGAGCTTCACAGCAAAAATTCAAAACTAAATTTTTACGTGTTACCTATTTGAGGTAAAGTGAATAAATGAGCTACACGATTGGTAAGCAGATATGTTTTGCACAGAAAATTAAAACTTCAACTGTGAGTAATTACCATTCCACCGAAGGTTTTATATAGATGCTTAACTTTGATGGACGTTTCAATTAGTAATGGCAATTGTATCCTATGTTTTGTACAAGTACTTAGAACTTTATTGGAGGTTTTTATTAGTAACTACACTTGAAAATAAAATGTTTCGTATAGATACTTAAAATTGTCTTTAAAGTCATCTATAAGTAAATAAAATGTCAATATATATTATATATACTAGTGTGTATATTGCTTTCAATTTTTTGCAGTATTTTATTTTATTATAGTTTTATATCATTTTTATCAATAAATAAATGTTGGAAATGTCTATTTTGCTAAAATAATATGTAAATACTACATAATATATATGTAGCGAAACACGTCCTGACCTAAATTTACAAGAAGTCACCACGCCCCCTAAGCAGAAACAGCTGTGACCTAAATTTAGAAAACGGAAATACCCAACCCAAACAATGTGCGTTATATATTATAAGTCATATTATCACTTTAAATAAAGTTAGAATGCTACAGTTTTTTTTATTTGATAGAATATAAACATATCTAAAAAACATATATAATAAATTAATAAAATATTTATAAAAAACGAATTTTTTTATTACATTTAAAAATCTTGCATTTTATTATTTTTTTATAACAAACATAATATTTTAAAGTTAACAATCGTAAAGTGTGATATGCGCGTAATAAAAGACAAAAAACAGCTCAGATCTACAGCAATTTTTAAACGTAATATTGCAATTTTAAAAATTACTATGAAAACCAACAAATATTGAGCAACAGCGGTGTAGTTTCGGATTCTTGAGATGCGCAGCTGAGAGGTTAATAATTTCCGATCCGAAATTATACATTACGACTCCAATGTTTCCACGATAGTCGAAGTCAATAACTCCTGCATTGATCAGAATATTGTTTAAAGATAAAGAAGATTTTGGAGCTATTCTAGCATAACAGTTATTTGGGATTTCTAAGGCCAAATCTGTAAAAATCACTTTTTGTTCATTTGGCTTAATTTCAAAGCCTTGTACACAAAATATATCATATCCAGCGTCTCCCATAGAAGCCTTTTGTGGACATATTACATTTTCTGATAGCTTTTTAAAATAAACAAATTTTAGAAAATAAAATATTTATTAATTATTATTACATTTTATACATTCACAACTTATAAAATATTTATCGACCCTTGGTAATATTATTTTATTTTTTATTACGAAAAATTTACATTCATATGATTTATTATTTGGTAATTTTAAAGATGACGCCTCTTTATACGCTCGTTTTAAACACGAGTAAGTTTTATTACAGAAGCTATGCATTATATAAGTAGTTTTTCTTTTGTATACTATTAAAAATCCGTATTGTGATGATGATGATATCGCAATATCTGTAAGAATTAAAAGTAGAAATTGTAATGACTGAACGATAATACATCTATTCCATTATCTAAAATGAATTTTTTATCATAAAATGGGGAAAAAGAAATTTTATTTTGTAGATATGTTGTTACTACATGATTTTTGCTTTTAATTCCGTATTGCTGGTGCCTTAATAGTTCTGCATTAAATAAAACTTCTTTTTATTTATTGTGATTAAATGTTTTTACAACAGATTTTTTTACACCCTTAGCAGTTTTTTTATTTTGTTTATCGAAAATATAAGAATACATTTTTGGTTTTAAGGAGCAAAATTCAGTTATCGGTTATGATAGTGTTTCGTCTTTAAAATATTCTAATTTATTTTTGTTTGCTTCGTTATATAATTTGTGAGTTTTGGGATAATTACTAAAATCAAAGATATCGGGAAACGATTTAAAATCCTTGTAAACATCGTTCGTATAAATTTGAAGTGTAAGAGAATCAGTGTCGATATATAATAAATGTACATTTTCGCCGTATCTGTTTTTAAATATTTTGTAAAATGTCTCGTAAATGTGCAATTTGCTTAATCCCTTCTTGTCCATATAATTAAGACTAAGTATGTATTGGAAATTCTCACTCTTTTTTATTATTGTGTAAAAAAATTTATAAGAAAGAAAAACATTTTTTTTCTGTTAATTTTTGTAAAAGTGTTGAAGTTGCCTCCTGAATGGTTCCTTTTCCTCATGGATAAACAACTTTACAGGGGCAACGCCTGCGATCGATGCTTTCCTGTAGAAGTTCGCTACATTGCAGGAAAGCTGTCATTCTTGAAAGTTCGATATTTTTAGTTTAAAAACTAATTACAGAAAATAAACATGATAAAACATGAAATTAACATAAATTTAATGATATAAAAATAGATTTTACTTNTTATTTTTCGAACATATCTACGATTGCTATTAGTGGGGACCGAAAAAATGTTCAATAACATAAACTACTATTGGATATAAATAAATAAAATTTTATGCCGTCATCAACAACATCCAATAGAATCTAAAAATGCTTCGCTCGAGTCAGACTCGAGCGTGGACATTTTAGAAAGTATTGATGACGTGTTGCTCGAGTGACACTCGAGCGTGGATCTTACGTCACGTATTTGTTGCTCGAGTCAGACTCGAGCGCAGCTCAAAAGGGGTTAATTTTAATATGCAAAAACCTATATAAATTGGTTTGTCCAAAGTTAAATTAGTTTTTTTCATTTTAAAAATTGTAGGATTATCGTTTATAATTTGAAAATTTTCAACAGATGGTTTAGATAGATATCTGCGATATTGATTTAATGTTGTAGCTGCTTTTAAGTTAATACGCTTTCTTACATTTTGACAGGTTTTGCCAAAAAAACTATTATTCATTAATTTAAAAAATGATTTGTCAAAACTGTTAGTTGATTCTTGTCTTTTTTTATTATTAAAAAATATATATTTTTTAAGCCATGCACTTTGGTAAAATGCTAATATTCTATGAATTTTAGTTATTATCAGACCTTCTAAATAAAATTTTAAATTCCTATAATGAACTATATAGTTTGTTTTATCAAAAAGAGTAGGAATTAATTTTTTATTAGTATTGCTATATTTTAAATTTAATTTATTTAATATTGTTTTTTGATAATTAGATAATAAATCGTATGGGATATTAATATGTTCAGCAGCTAGCGGCAAACAATTATGTCTGTTGTGAATATTTTCTGGATATTTTAAATCTACTTCTAAGATATATCCTATGCTATTATTGTCAGATATATTACGTATGTCTAAAGCATTTATTTTGTCTTTGTGCAACCATCTAAAATTATTTACAGGTAAATATGCGCTCATTACGAACCCGTAAAGATTATTTGCATCTATCGATAGAATATAGTTATGAGGTTGATTTTTATCATAAGTTTCTGGTATTAGAGGATTATTTGCTTTTGCGAATCTTTTCCCCCCAAACTTATTCCCCCCAATACCTCCTTCTATAAATAAGTACATATCGAGATCGTTAAATAATTCTAATTGGATTTTTGTCATTTTTAAACCACAGTTCCATGTTAAATCGGGTGTAGTTATAAAATATACAGGATCTAAATTATAATATGTTAAACTTAATTTTCTAAATTTTTGGAATATGTCCGCTAATAATAATGTATCAATGTATTGGTATAATTTTAAATAGTCTTTGAAAGTTTCACAGTGAAATTTTTTCCAAACTAATTGAGCGTGACTGTAATCCTCATCTGTAATATGCTCTCCTGATAATTCGTTATAAAAACATTTTTCGGGAGGCAGCTGCATCTCATCTAATATTCGTTTGCTTTTAAAATAGGAATATGGAAAAATTCCTTTTCTTTTTAATAATTCTTTATATTTGCTATTGCGAAAAAAACGATTAAAAATCGGAAAACTATAATTTGCATTTTTAAGATTGTCTGTTAAAGTAGAAAGAGAAGAATTTAAAAACTGATAACTATCAATAAATTTAAAATAATCTAATGAAAATGTTGTAAATTTTTCTGAATTTATAGGAATAATTTTAATTTTTGAAAATAATTTAGAAGGAATATTTTTAAAAATTAAATGCAAATCATAACCTGAAAAATTGTGCAATATAATTGGAATAAACGTTTTTAATCGGTAATTTAAATTACATTTATTATGGGCCCACCCTTTAAAAAATTCTGTTTGATGATCGTGATCCATTACACGGATATCATCATCATCAAATGAACAGTATTTAAATTAATTTCAACATTATGACTTATTTTACTTAACAAATTATTCAGCTGTCTTTGGATATCGATTAAAAACTTATTAACAGCATTATTGCCACAATAGAAATTAGCATATATTATCTCATCCTTATTTTCAATAATTATAATAGAATAACATATAGGTTTATGAATTTCAATAATTTTAGTAAAACTTACTTCTGGATCTATTTCATCGGAAGAAACCTCTTCCAAAATTGATTCAAAGTCTGCATNATTGTTATATTGACCAAATAATAATTTATTGGCCAAATGAATAATAATAATTTATATTGTTAATTTAATTTGGTGTTTGAAATATGACACACGATAGGGGCGCCTCTAGTGTCCGTTATGAAACGGTTACGGGACGGACACGAGATGAATGGATTTTATATAAGTATTTCCACTTAAATTAAATTTTAATATTTGTTAGAATTTATTGTAATTACAAAAGAAGTGAGTCGTAATTTAAAATAATATAACATTACTTATCCTACCTGTTGTGTCGGTGTTTTGTAATTTTATGTGTACTTCCATTTTAACTAGTCCAGAAAGAACCCACACATTCTGTTATCTATTATTTGTATCGTTAATTCATTTTTGTAATTTTACACAATTAAATTACTGGTTGAAATCAATACTCTGTAAAGTGCAGGAATAATATTGATATTACTGTTAGGAACACCCTTGTGTCCCTGTATAAATGATGTCTTCGTATCAGATACCTCAGCATTAATGAGTAACGTTACATTTGATAAAAGTAGCAGAAATGTTGTATCACTCTCGTCGGCTCAAATATTATATCATTGTAATCAGACTTTAATCTATGAAACTATACTTAATTAATGTAGTTATTATTTCCTGTTTGGTTTGGTTTCTGAATTGTGAATTTGAAATTAGTTACCATTTGAGTTTTCACAGAGGAATGACAGCTGCTCGTGACAAGCGTAAGATTCAGATTATGAAGAATCAAGCAGATTGGTTACTGCATATTATTATTCCGAAACATTTTGCCGAGCAATTAAAAAATACATCCAAATATTCTGAAAATCATAAAAATGCTGATATTATGTTTGCAAGTATTGTGAATTTCCACGAAATGTATGACGAATCCTTCGAAGGCGGCAAAGAATATCCGCATGCCCTAAATGAATTAGTCAGTGATTTTGACGAACTACTACAAAGGCCATCGTTTAGAAATATAGAATAAATTAAAACCATAGGAAGCACTTTTAGTATTTGTAGTAGAACTTATTCTTGTTTAAAACAAACATATAATGAGGCAGCATTATTAAAATTGCCAAATAATAAACCATATGAATGTAAATTTTTTGTAATAAAAATGTAAAAATTCCAAAAAAGGCTTCTACGGGAGCAGCTGGATATGATATATTTTGTGTTAAAGGCTTTGAAATTAAGCCCAATGAACAAAAAGCGATATTTACAGATCTGGCCTTAGAAATGCCAAATAACTGCTATGCTAGAATAGCTCCAAAATCTTCTTTATCATTAAATAATATTATGATCAATGCAGGAGTTATTGATGGAGACTATCGTGGAAACATCGGGGTCCTAATGCATAATTTTGGATTAAAAATTATTATTTTTGAACCTGGATCTGTCATTGCCCAAATAATTTTCGAACAAATTATGCATCCAAGTTTTATAGAAAAAACATTCATTAAACACCACTGATAGAAATGAAAAAGGCTTCGGAAAATGTAGTGAAATTGCTTTTTCTCAAAATAAAGATTTTGGGGACTGTGACGATATACTCCTTTGTGAAAAAAGAAGAAGATGATTTTAACTGTGATGAAATTACCTTATCTCAAAAAGTAGATTGTAACGAAATTATTTTATCTGAAAAAGAAGATTTTGGAGATCGTAACAAAAATTAACTTTTTTCTCAAAAAATAATTTTGTACTCAGATATTATTTTGTAATGTACTCAATTATTATTTTACATGTACTCAATTCTCATTTTGTAATGTACTTTATTATTTTATATTTACTCAATTATAATGTACTCAAATAATCAAGTATTATGTACTCATTACTATACTCAAATAAAGCAGCAAATAATATAAAAAAATGTTTGTTTTTTTTGTAGACAAAGTACTCACCCCCATCGACTGGGAAGCACTCTCGTCTTCACCCCTAGAAGAACAAACTATTCGTCAATTTAAAAATTATGTTCATTGGGATACGATCAGTCAACGACGCGATTTAACTGAAACGTTTATTTTGGAATTCGCGAATTACTTAAATTGGGAACACACATGGAAAAATTACCGTTTTCCAATCAAATTTATTATGTAAAATATTCAAAATGGGATTTAATTTGCCAACATCAGAATTTAGACGAACAATTCCTAGAAAGATATTCGGATCATCTTGATTGGAATAAAATCTCCGAATACCAACATCTTTCAGATGATTTTGTTACTCTCTTCATACATAAATTTGATATAAAAAGACTTAAAATACCAACAATTAAAAACCTCAACTTTATGACAAACACATGATTACCTAAACTGGGAGTTTGTTTCTCGTTATAAAAAACTTGAACAATTTATTGACAAATTCCAATGTCAACTTTCATGGTGTCACATTATAAAATATCAAAAATTAAATAAGGAATATATCATGCACAATCGTGAGAACTTATTCTTGTATTTAATGGGAGAATTATGCATTACTATAGATAAATTGCGGGAAAAAGTAGAAATACTTATATAACTGTAATGTAACGTAAAAATAAAAGAAATTAAAATAATTTCAATGTTATATTATTTTAAATTACGACTCACTTCTTTTGTAATTACAATAAATTCTAACAAATATTAAAATTTAATTTAAGTGGAAATCTATGTATATAATCCATTCATCTCGTGTCCGTCCCGTAACCGTTTCATAACGGACACTAGAGGCGCCCCTATCGTGTGTCATATTTCAAACACCAAATTAAATTAACAATATAAATTATTATTAATTATTTGGCCAATAAATTATTATTTGGTCAATATAGCAATATAAATAATTCAGTATATTTGTAATAGGAATTTATTATTTCAGGGGCTTATATCTCGCGAAGGGTCGCGAGTAGGGGTATGGTTCCTTTGACTTTATTGTTCGCACAGGGGCTACAGTTTGGGAAGGATCGCCACCTCTTCATTCGGAGGGTAAATCTTACCATTCGGACTTTTACAGAGCTGTAGAGCATATTGATAGGAACAAAAAAGTCAAAGGAACCGTGCCCCATGGAAATTTGTAAAGAACACCCACTAGGGGGCGTCCCTGGCTACTAGTACTTATATAACTGTAATGTAACGTAAAAATAAAAAAAAAATTAAAATAATTTCAATGTTATGTTATTTTAAATTACCACTCACTTCTTTTTTAATTAAAATAAATTCTAACAAATATTAAAATTTAATTTATATAAAAAAATTTACTTAAAAATATTATTTCAAGTTATCACTCACTTCGGGAAGTNAGTAATTACCTGAATATTTTTTAAGTTGAAACATTTTTTCAGTTTCTAGCTTATCTGAAAAATTACTTAAAGATAACAAATTTAAAATAAATTCTACCATATATTAAAGTTTATATGAAACAATTTAAAAAATTAAATAATTTTGTGATTAGTATGTGTCATACGTATACTACTCATAATAATCTAATAATAAAAAGTAAGCTTATGTTCAGAAAGAATAGCAGCCAATAAACTATCATTGGATTCAAACGGTAATTCCATTAATTTTATCATCATATTTCTACTTATTTTAAATTTCATTGGTAATTTAGTACAAAAATTTCATCAGTAATAATTTTTGATAATCAATTATAAATTTTGTTTATTATTTAAAACAGCATTTTGATAGTATGAATAAAAAAAAGTATTAAAAATTTTACCTTGTGTACAGATTAGCATTGTGTAAACCCTGCAGAAAAAAAAGAACATTTCAATCAATATTTCAAATGAATATTTTAAATATAATGAATAACTGATTAAAAATCAGAAAAAAAGCAGCCATTATTGTATTCTCATTAAAATCAAACGGTAATTCCATTATGTTTTCATCATAAAAATAAAATAGTTTTGTTTAGTTCACTTAAACTCAGTATGATGAATTTTAAAAAATTTATAATTTCTTCAAAATATGCATTGTTGCCATTAATATAATTAGGAATATCAAATAAATATGTTAATAAAAATGACTAATTTCAGTTAGTTAATATATTATTTAACTAAAGTGATACTTTCTTGTACAATCAAATACAAAATACCTTCCCAACATGAGGAGAATATAAACATTAACTTTGCAAATAGTTCAGTAATTAAGTTTTATTGAGGTTACTATTATAAAGTATTCTAAATTATTTGTAAATAAAACAAACATTTCATTAAGACACAAGAAAACAGATTAAATTGTTTTCTTGTGTTTTAATTGTTCACTTTTTTAAAGCTTCTTCTGATTGGAACACAGTTAATCAAGTATATTTTATTCTGCCTAGGTAGAAATATGCCATCTTAGAATATTATAAAGCTTTAAAAGAAAAGTAAATAAGGGATCATAAGACCCTCAAGATCAAGAGAATCAAAGGGCCTCCAGGATATCAGCAAACAGTAATAAAAATACTCATAAAATGATTGAAAATTGCACATGAATAATCTGCTGATATGCATTATTGCAGTGGTCTGTTTTGAAATATCAAAACAGTAACACAAACTAAAATTGATGTCGTGTAATAACATCAATTTCAATTTGTGTTACATTTTAATAAAGAATTAATTTCATTATTTCTTTAAACATTGGAAAACTTTGTATTTGATAAAGTGTTGTCAAAATATTTAAAACTGACTCCAATTAATTATAAGAAAATCAAAATGAAGGATTAACTTCTCACTAAGCACTATTACATTTATAATATAATATTCTCTCACATATGGTAACAACATAGCTGATAAGTAAATCTTTTAAATCTAAAGGACGTTAAGATAATTTTATACTTCTACATACTTTTTATTATTATAATGTATAAATTTCATACTGGTATGTTTTATTTATATTTTTTTTTAATTGTCAATTAAATGTAATGATAAAACGTCGGCTGCAACCTCTACATTGCAAAAATGGAATGGAATGTTGGATGTTCAGTGCCACCTTCCTGTAAGCCTAGAAGTTTGACAATGGTGTTTGGAATGTCAAGCATGATTCCACTGACATTCAAATGCCATTGTCAAAGTTCTAGGCTTACAGGAAGACAGTGCTGAATGTCCAATGTTCTCATTTTTGCAATGAAAATGACAGCTGCAACCTCTCTATTGTGCTAAAACCATGGAAATATTTTTTAAACAGTGTTTTACATATTGAGGTGGAAGAGTAGCCTAAAAAGGTCAACTCTGCAGTAAGAACAGTTAACATCCTTTTTTTCACACTTCAAGAACTAAGATTTAAAAGAAAAACTTTTTTGATACTTCTATGCATTTAATATTAAATAATTAACATTTAAAAATTACATCATTTTTTGTGCTTTGTAAATTTTTGGGGAAATTTGGTGTATGCTTGAGAGAAATTTTGGGTCCTGAAAATATTCTTCATCCCTTTTCATAAATTGTATAGCACATTATTTTTTTGCTGCCTGCAGATAGCTGCACTTAGTCAAACATAACTGTGAGCAAAAAAACAACAACAAGGCAGCCAAGGAGGCAAATTCCCTGACTTTCCATGACTTTTTCCAAACACTAATGAAAATCCCAGATTTTTCCTGACTTTCTAGGTGTGTAGGAATCTTGTTCATATTATTCTCTAAACAAGAAGTTATTTGGAAGAAATGGAACTATTGTTTAAACCAGAAATTCCCAACCTATGGTCCCAAAATCATATTGACTATCTTTTGTATCTGGCCAGACTTGTCTTTAACACCTCAAGGCCAATTTCAGAAATAGACTGAAACACCTGATTTGGAATAAATTACATTATACTTAAAAAATCCTCAATGAACTCTTCATACTCATTAACCCTGTCCACCTCTACTAGTTTAATTAACATAAGAAAAATCATCATCAAAGCAATCATCTATTATATTTATATTTTAAATCTTTACTTTCTTCCCATCAATGCTTTTTGGCTTCATTATTTATATTATATATACCTTTCCTATGTACTGTACATTGCAGAAAAAACACTGTCAAGACGGTACTTATTTTAATTTTTGTTATCCCAATGAGTGACAAAATAACTTTTAAAAAGTTAATTTAATTTTCAGATTTTTTATGTTCACTTGCATAATTAATAACAATGGATGCTAGAAATTCCAAAAAGACACATTCTTGTATTTTAGACATAGCATTTTGGTCAAAGTATCATTCTGTTGAAAATTTTAGTAATTAGAATTATGTATGTGAATATATGCAGAATTATAACATCTTTAATACATTCAAGGTATACTTAAGAATGTTAAGATATGCTCATTATTGCAGATAGAAATTTATTTTAAAATGTGTATTTCTTTTTCCCAATTTTGAACTGATTCAAAATATTCTGATTATATTTTAGATGAGTTTCAGTTTCACATTTAATAGAACAAACTAAACTAGGTTACATATTTTATATTATAAACACTCAAAAGCAGCAATGCTAAAATGTTTGACTTGTTGATTTATTAAAACTAGTCTATTAAAACAAAATATAAAATTAAAAACCATTTAGTAATTACCTGAATATTTTTTAAGTTGAAACATTTTTTCAGTTTCTTACACTTCTGAAAACAAATTCAGTTTATCAGATCTAATTAAGATTAATTCATAAAATTGTTAAATTAAATGAAAGATCAGAAATAAAAGCAGCCATTTTTACTTTTTATCATTAATATCAAACGGTAATTCCATTAAGTTTTCATCATTGAAGTTATCATTTTAATTTACAATAATATTTGTTAAAGATGAAATTTTTATTAATTATAAAGTATAAAAATATGTTCATAAAATAATCTATTAAATTATAAAATTAAATAGTTACCATCAGCTTTGTTTAGATGATTTTACTTCAGCTGTTTCAGCATGAATTCTAAAAAAAAGTAATTAAAATAATTGTTTTAAAATATAAATTTTTATTAAAATAAATTACAAATTATATTTATATTATATAAATATAAACTAAAAAGTATTAAATTTTATTGCTTACAATAGAACATAATAATAATAATTATAATTTTTTCTATCGGGTGAAAAAATACCTTTAATTTTGTGACATCACAAATGGAATTTTCTTTTTATTCATATCTAATACCACAATGGCAATCTGAAAATAATCAAATATAATAATGCCATTTAGAAAAATATAACTAAGATTTTCATGAAAAATCACAATAAAGAATAGTATAAAATAAAAAGTACATAGTAAAAAAATAGTTTATGATGTTCTCTAATTTCAAAACAATTTTTAAGAAATGTGCATATTTGAAATGAAATAAAATTAATGAGCAATTACTTATAAGTTGTTAATTGTTGTGTCAATAAGTCATTGTTTTAAAATCAGGAAGAGTTTTAGTTTAAAATAATAAAATTGTAATTTGACTGACATGTATTGTACTGGGAAGAATGTTTTCTTTGACATTTAATTAACAACTAGTTTTGTTAGAACTGATTAATTTTATATTTTAGTCGCAGTTTAACCAACGTGCTGGTGTCCCATTTATATGCAAGCTTGCCAGTCATTCCACAAAAACACAGTACATATTTTACATACATTTTACAAGATAAAAAAGAGAATAATTGATTGGCAATGAGATTAAACTGATGAAAACTAAGCAGGTTGGAGCCACTGATATATTTAGTTTTTACAATTCATAGTACTTATGAATGGTTAGAGATTGGAAATCAGGTAAACACAATACTGAAAATAAGTATTTCTACAAAAATGTAATTGCATGAATTTCCAAATGAAGACTTTACTATAGAGTCAAGACATTTATCATTTGAAGACAATAACTGCAATATATATGATGAAGAAAAAAAATCTATTGTTCAACAATATTTCTCTTTGATGAAACACACAAAACAAGTCAGCAGAACTAAAAAATATGTTGATCCACGAAGCAGTTAAAATTATTACTAATTCTTTAAATTCTTCAAAAGTTTTTGTCTGCAGGAATACCAATAAATATGCTGAATAACTGAGTTACATAGTTGGTTTGAGAAAAACTTGAACTTTGCCCCAAATGAAAAGTTGCCTAGTGTTACCCTACACAGTGAAAAGTTACCTTACACAGACTCTTATCAGATATCAAAAATGTTGATATGCAAGATACTATAAAACTTTGCAAAGAATATGATATTTAAGAGAGGGACAAAATAACTGATTCTAAAAATAGAAAGGTTGTGCATTGATTGGTGACGCCATTCATAACATTTAACAAAAGTCGACCGTTAATCAAAAGTTGTAGAAAAATGTGATGCAGAAATAATTGTTGAAGTACTTTTAGTACTCGAATCAGATGAAGTTAAGACAAAATTGCTTTGCTCTGATCTGAGATAATGTTCCATACATGCTCTACACAGCTTTAAAATTGAGCAACGTTTTGTTATCAAATGATACATTCTACTTGCTGGGCACAAAATATCCATCTTCAACCCAACGAGGTGCATGTCCAAAATAAGAAATGCATACAGATTTTTGGCTTCCACGAAAGCAGCTTTAGTTAAAGCTCCCTAACAAAGGCAGAATTTGTAAGACTGCCTCAGACAACAAGGATGTTGAACTGCTTTACCACCAAACCCAATTATAACAAGATGGAGAACCTGACTGGAGACTGTTTCATACAACTGGAAAGCAATTAAACAGATTGAAAAGTCCCACAGTTCTGAGAGAAGTTCTGCAATGGATAAACTAATAAAACAGATCAAGTAACGAACTGAAAGAAAAACAGTTATTGTAGGAGTGGATACAAATGTGTGTAGCTGTAAAAAACATTGAATCAGAAAAAAACTGTTTTTGCTAATGTATGGACTATTTTAAGTATATTGAAAAATCTACTAAACAACAAAAAGTTACCTTCAAATAAAATTACTGCTTATTTGACCAGCATCCAGTTAACCCATTTTGGAAAAATATGCAGCAATTAGATCCAAATCATTGTTGCCCAATAAAGGGATTCTTTTTGACAACAGAACAGGCAATATTTTCCAAAACACCAAGAGAAACTTGTGTTCCTGGAGAAACACAAATAGGAATATGCCATTACTCAATAAACTACAGTAGAGCACTGTTTATCCGAAAGCCAGTCAACCGAAAGCGTTCCAGTCGGCAAATTTAAATTTCTGCTAGTGCTGCAGCGTCGCAACCAAATGGGCTACTCCAATATTTTTCTTGTTGGTGTCCATGTTCTAGCTGGCAGCACTGGCACTTTGGTGTGGTGTTTTTCTGAGGACTGTATGTGTGGACGTATGTCGTGCTGAATCGAACATTTTTGATACTAGATTATCTTATAAAGTATAATTTTTTCTAGTTTTCAATATATTTATTTTGTTTGTACAAAATAAAGAAATAATTTTTAATTATGCAGTAGCCACGAAATTGTTATTATTATAAAAATTTACGTTAGGCTTAACACATTGACGAAAATTCAACGCAAAGCAACATGCAACGGAGAAAAATTTCAACATGGGATAGGTTAATATATTTTTTTGTACATAATCGATTATCTGAACAATCCCAGTCCCCAATTTATTCTGATAAACAATGCTCTACTGTATCACTGAAGGCACTATCTTTTCCTGCTTCCAGCACAGATGTTGAAAAAAGCTTTTCTGCATTTTGCAGAATTTCTTTGCCTCAATGATCTAACATGAATATTTAAATTTTTATCTGTCATGTTCAGCTAGCTTTTAATGGACCAGTAGAGATGAAACATTCATTAGCATACTTAACTGTACCTTTCAATTAATGTTTGATTAAAAAAAGTATCTTTTTCCAAGAATTTAGAAAATTTGCTTATTCTTGCCAGGGAAAAATATTTTGAAGCATAATTAGCATGGTACAAAAGCAACTTTTTAAATAACAAAGCATTTTCAGCACAGTGATCACAATAAAATTCTATTGCATATAAAATAATATACTGTATTTTAAAAGATAATAATAATAATAATTTTTAATTTTTCCAAATCAATAAATACTTTATAAACTGAACATTTATATTTACCTTTGGCATATGTTTAGTGCACCATGAAAGCCTATAAAAAATAAAAAATATAGGAAAAATTAATTCTTTCAGTTAAAATAATTTAAAGTTTTTAAAGTAAACTTATAATTTGTTTTAATGAGAAAGTATAACTAGTATAAATTTGATTAATTATGCAATTTTTCAGAGATGATTACAAAGGTAAATTTAAAAATTCATTAGCCATTAAAAAGAGCATTTTCTTTTATCAGTTGTTAAAATACTCATAATAATAAATGAAACAAGAAAAAAAAATGCAAATGAATTATTTGAACAAACCATAATTAAAACTGGAAAACTGCATTTAAATATTTAAAATAGCATCTACTATATTTGTAAGAACACAGCCTGAGTTTTCATATAAAATTGAGTAAGAAATAAAATGTATTCTTGACTTTTTAAAAAACAAAAACACAAATTGCATCTAGAAATTATTTTATGTATTCCTGAAATTTATTAAAAATTTTATTTATTAAATAATAAAATTGATGTCGAAAGTACAAAATTTTTAGCAACAGCATTAAAAATTTTGTGTTAAATTTATCAGAAAAATCAGATCACAAAGACGTTCAATAAAAGATCAAATGATACAAACTGATTGTAATTGTATTAATTTTCATTTCCTTTTAATACAGGCATTTTATATTCAAAGGATATTAAAATTCTGAAGTTTTCTTAAAAATCACACACACTCATTCATAAACTTCATGTTTTAAATGAAAATTTATATATATATAAAATTTCACGGGACTTCAAATAATTTTTTCTCTATTAAAATAAATTACTGAATAAGTTGCATTACATCAGAATTATATATAAAACAACAAACATTTATTCCCCCCAAATAGGCATTAAAAGCATATACGATAAACTGGGGAAAATTACAGATAATGAACAAAACTTTGCATTACAATAATTAAAATGAACAAACAATAATGTATCAAATGTTTCAGAAACACTTATCAATCGACAATTCACAAAAACCTTTCAAAATGGATCAATCCAATGTTCAGAAATATTCCTTAAAGTATATCTTACCTCAACTTTACTATTGCAGAGGATAGATGATCCTTCTTGTAATACTTTTATTTTAGTAGATATATTCTCCATTTAATTCCTATTCTAATAAAAACTGCCAAAGCACCTTTGGTCACCAAATTAAAATTTATGTAAAAATCAAATATATCCATTGTCCAGGCATCATAAAAGACAAAACTAAATTATCAAGTTGTGGAAAAAAGTCAAATTTTATGAATTTACACATTTTAATAAATAATATAGTCAAAAATTATTTCCTTAAATACTAATTCTAAGATATAAAATAACTTAGTGTTATAGTTAAACAAAAACAACAAAAAAAAAAATGTAACAAAACTAAGTATATTAAAATACTTATGATCATCCACAGGTATATTAAATTTCAAATAATTTCTTACTGTAACAGATACAATTGAAATAATAAGCACAATTAAACTGAAAATAGTTTACAATAAAATGATAATTTCGTCTTCATGCTAATCAAATTTAAATGTTTAGAAGAAAGGAAACAAAAACAAATTAGTAAAAAAAAGTTTTAGCAAAACAACAGATTAATTTATAAATTTAAAATTCAGGGTTTTTTTGAAATTATAGATAATTATAATACAATAACAGTAAAATATGTTATCATTAAAGACTTTTTAAATAAATATAGCTGTCTCCAACAGTATAAAAATATAACTTCAAATTTTGCAAAATTTTTACAAATTTTAAATTATTTCAATGTTTGTGATTTTTTTTTAATTTTGAAGCTGATGTGTCAATTATTTAACCAGAGGGGATGACATTTAATTTTGAATGTTTTTTGTCATTCTTTAGGTCATTTTTTAAATATTTACAAACATTTAATTTTCAACATTAACTGTTAATCTCAACAGTACAACACATGGATGTAAAATGAAAAATGCTATCTACAATTCTCATTTCTTCTGGCATAATATATAGACATTTGAAACTTCAAATTTCAATATATTGATAAACTATAAAACAATATTTTCTAAATAAATCAGCAAATCATTTATCATCAAAGTGATCTGATAAACAATTCTTAAGATATCAAAAATATTAGCTAAACTGTTTAGTTTTTATTATTAAAATTTTGATCTAAACTAAAAAAAATTATTAGTAATTATATAACGATAAACCAGAACATAATTTTTTTGCATTACTGTAAATACTGTATAAACACAGTAAATATATTTGTTCTTTAATTAATCCTTTACATCTAAAACATTTTAATTATATTAAGAAATTCTTCCTTACAAAACCATCCATTTTCATTTGTCTTATTTTCGGTTCTTAATTTTAATTATTAAATTTTACTCCTATTCTAAATAGAGCATTTGAAGATAATTTTTCCCAGAGATCTCCATAGGACATGGCCATTATTATTATTTAATATTCCAGGAATATTCAGTGTCATTGAAAAACATTTTATGCAACTCTTCTTTCTACAGACCACATTGTCTGGACTATGGACTACTTTTTTAAATATGAGTGAAGATTTTTTTTGTTTTATAGAAACCAAAATTCATTGTATGGAGACATTGTATTGTCTGAGGGAATGCTTTAATTAAGGTATGTCCTATGTGCCAGCATCCAGTGACTGTGGATGTGAATGCACTACAGAGTGGAGCAGACAAACTGATACAAACAAATGTGCATATACAGAGTAACAATGTTTAGCATGCAGTGACCAAGTTTGATCACCACTTCCACTGCTCGCATTTCCAAAGAGGAAGACAAAGCTGATTCAACAAAGCTGATTCATCTTTTATTTCATGATACAAATGGTGAAATTCACCAAACTAACAATATTTCTTACAAATATCACATGTCTTTTACATATATGAAGTTTCAGAAATACCATGTAGAAAACCTTGCCATTTCAACCATTCCACAAAGTTATCTTGCTGCCACTCTGGACTGAGATCGCTCGCCAGCTGGATGTTGCCATACCCATTGATATTTAAGTGCTATTCTACTAAAAACAATCAATAGCTTACAAATATTTAATGTTATTGGTGGTTCTTAAATAAAAAATGAAAAATAGCAAGTAAAAGCAGAAACCTTATATGAACTCTCATCATAATAATCAATCTTATAATTATTACAATTGTCTTTTAGAATATCTTCTTTTTCAATTAATAATTCTATTTATAGATTCTAGATACTAAATAATGAAAGAAACAAGACTAATGTATAAAAATTAGTATTCATTATAACTTATTTACCTTCATTAAGCAAATATCAATAATGTATAAATCAGTAAATTATGGATACGTATCTATTATAAACTATTAAATTACAGGACACAATCTTGAATTTACAATTACACACAATTACGATTTAAAAACTTTTTTTTAATTTATTTCAGAATTTGGATCATCTGGACTAGAGTTTATCCTACAGCCAAATATATATATATATATATCAAATTATCTATGACTTAAAGAACCACTTGGTCATATTTAAATTACATAGAACAAATAGTATTCACTGCAACAATGCATATTTGTCATCAACTTTCTTTCCTAAATTACATCCAAATTTCACATAATTTAGCATTCCTATATAAAAATAAAATCACTTCTGTTGAATTCTAAATAGCAGTTTAAAACTTTTTTTTGTTATTTTTTTATTATTTTATTAATTATAAATATTATTAGTTAATTCTCTAATCATAAACATAAGCAATAAAATTTTTAGAGCAAAATAATAATTTCCTTAGGTTTAAGATATACTTTTGACTATATAGTCAAGTACAGAATATAATAAAAGCCTGAAAAATATTTACTACTACATAGTGTAATTGTACAAATTCTATTTAATACATGTGCTAATTTTGCTACATATTTTGACATATTGATTTTGATTCAGTTAAAGTAAATTTAGAATGAAATCTGAGCACTTTTAAAATGATTATATATCATATTGCATACCAGTAACTTATTTTTGCATTTATTTAAGCTTCAGTACTACAGATTATTAATAATAAATTCTGACTAAAAAGTAAATATGATATAAATGATCCATACTGAAAACATACTGCCTTTACTACACAACTGTACAGCATTCAATTTTATACAATTCTTACCCAAATAAATTAATATTTTTAGTTTCAATTTCTTTTCCATCATTTCTATCCTAAAGTAATGAAAAGTTGATTTAAAAAATTTAATATGATAGTTAAAATTAGAAATTAAGCATTTTATATGTCCATTTAATATTTCATTAATTAAACTTTACTAAAATATGAGAAAATTCTTTTTATCAAAATTCAATTATAGAAATAAAACAAAAATTTGTAATTTAATTTTTTATAAAACCCAAAGAGCCTCTTAAAATTTAACATATTGTTAGTAAATACAATTTAAACAAATTGAGGAAATGAAAGCTTAAAACAAAATTTAAACTTCCTCAATGCAAATACATGTAATCATAACACCTTTTGATTTCCTTATCTAATTGTATTAAATACAGTTTGCCTTGAGAATATTTTAATAATTATCTAAACTGAAGGTATTAATATATTAAAACTAAATAATCCTCTTTACAGAATTTTAATTTTAGACTATAATTTTACTTAACTTACCATTTGCACACAGGTTACTATTAAAACATGTTCATGCTGTTCAAAATAATTCTTCTGCTAACGAAATTAAAATTAAAGTTGGCACAAAAAACATTAATCATTGGATTAAAATATTAATTTTTCATTAAAAAATTTTATCAGTAATATTCAGGTTCATATACATCTGGCTGATCTAATGGTATCTGCTAACAAACAACCTGCTCAAATTTTATATATATATATAAAATAAACATTTAACTTCAAATAAAGAATAAGCAGTGACTTCTTTGAGAAGAAACTGATGGAAACAATCTTCCTCTGAAATATTTGTTTTTGTTTTAAAAATAAATTTCATGAAAAACAGACACTATTTTCTAACAATGAAGCATTTCTGAATATTTGGTAGTCAAATAACACAAACCAACCATAAAATTTCACATAAATTAATGTTCCAATCACCATGATTTAATTGAAATAAGATTGTACAGACAATTTTTCTCCAAAGAAATGTTTTAATTTGTTAGATAATATTATTATATCCTTATATATATATTAATAAATCAGCCATGTATCAAACTAAATTCAAGCTGGAAAAAATTACTTGAAAAAAAATCAATCTAATGAAACTTGAATCTACATGAAAATCAGTTTTGAACTACTGTACTTAAGTGAAGAAATGATAAATTATAAAAGTAAATAATGTTTATAATAATTATGCTACACAGCAGTACTTGACCTTAAATTATAGGAGTTTTAGATTGTGTTTAAATTCTTATAATTGGTAATAATGATTTAATCTGGAAAGAATTACATGATAAAACTGGACTTTTTGTCCAATATTCTGAATAAAATTTTCATTTATTCCAACAGTAAAAATAAAAATATCAAGGCAGAGTATCTATATTTATTAATAAAAATCTAAACACTACAGACTAAACAACCAAAACAGTTGAATAATGATTCCAAACCAAAACTAAAAAAGGCAATTTAAACATTAATTCAAATTATATATGAAAATAAAATCCACATTCATATATGGATTCTTTACAAGAGTAAGAAGAAATTTTGAGTAATTTCTATAAACTTGATGTTATTATATCAAAAATATATAATATATTTTTTCCTTAAAATTTACTGTTTGTATTAATACAAAGTACATAAAGATTGAGTTACTAATTAGCTTATAAATAATTTCACAGTTTTTCATATAGTACTGTACATAATGATCTAAAATAAGCAAAAAAGAAAATTTTTAACAAGCAAAAACTATTTTGACACAAATGAAACTTCTGCTTAAATAATCAAAATCCATAGCCTCATTTAATGCTCAATTAAAATATTTGCTTTCTTCATTCCAGTGTGTTTTAATCCAAAGATGCTAAAGTGAAACAAATCAAAATTAGTTTTATTTACTTTATATATGTTAAAGTATCCTTGTTATAAGATACTGCTATCATCATATAAATATACAAAAGTTTAACTATCTGATGAACATTTCCTGTTTAAAAACTTAAGTTGTTAGAAGATATAATCAGACAAATTAAAAAAACATTGAATTTATTGTTTAAGAAAACTATTTGCTAAAAGTTCTGAATCTGATATATTAAATAAACACATTTCAGTAAGCGGAAAAAAATTCACTAAAAATATCATAAAAGCAATATAATTACAAATTAACAAAAAGAACATTTTATTTGTTGTTT